ATAAATAATAAGCTACTGTATAGGTTAGTGTATCTTTTGTACTGATGCGTCTTTTTGAATAGATTATTGATATTTGATAATACGAATATACGATGGTTCGAAAATAATGTCGAGGGATACTGTGTATACTGTATAGGTTTAATATTGAACTGGTTAATATGCGTTTCTGATTGTCTAGAATAAAAACGGTAGATTCCACCCATGGATATAATATATATTATATGCATATTGCATATACCCATGAGTGTAAAACAGATTTAAAATACGGCACCCTGCACAGAATTATAATATTATAATTTATAATAAGTTCCGTATATACGCGCTTAGCAAAAAACAAAATATTTGACAACGACCGATCTATTTGTATTTACTTTTGGTGCTATCTAGTATAATATAGTATTTATTATATATAATCCAAGCTCACTATCAATTTTCCTGTGAGGCATTCCTCTCTGTGAAGCATTTCTGCAGATGTGATGTGTTATGTGTATCGGTATCACGATGGCACGACATTTTTCAAACAGTGGGTATTAATTGAAATACTCTATAAGAAATCTATAGGTATGCAGTTCTATATATAATATAATATATTGTCAAGCTAGACAATAACATAATACTCACTGCGCCATTCCGTCGATGACTGATAAACCCATCGAATTGTCATGAGAGTTATATTATATTATTGCAATGCAATATAATATTTGTGTAGACCTCGACGGCTCGGCGTATGTGTTACACACGTACATACTACATAGTAGGTAGGTAGCTGCGTGATTTCAAATTATAAAATCATTAGCCTTTTTTTCTCAGCACAGAAAGTCAGAACCTATAAAACTTGTACATGGAAACTAAATAGATTTTCACGTTGTATTACTTTTCCGTTATGTTATAACATACTTAAAAAAACATATTATAGGACATAACACAAATCTTTTAATGTCTAATATAGGTGTACCGCATAATGGAAGCGAATTATATGTATTTAGGTGTTACAATACCTACATAGTACATAGAACGCTATTATAGTAGAATGTCTAGACGTCTAGTGCAGCACTATATAGCTGGCAATTCAATAGTTATGTCCAAAAGATTGGAATAACGTATAAAAATATTTAAAAAGTCAGGCTTTTTACTTGTTACTGGATTATTCAATATTCTATAAGTACCTAATAGTTTATGATTTAAAGTATACAAATGCCCATTAATTTTGCTATAACTGTGTTTATAAGTTTTAATTTTTAAGTGCTTATTGCAGAGGTATACATATTATGCTTAGATCAAATTTCAATTTTAATGCTTGGGTACTTATTTATTAAATAATAACACAGCTGATGTTAAAAGGATGCTTTAATCACAGACGTAATAAAAATTTTAAACTAAAAAATATAATCATCACAAAATACTATGTATTTTAAATTTTAGTACGAACTATTATCTTCTACAGCAACATATTGGCGGTCAGATATGAGACAGTCATTACTTAAAGATATTTATTGCCGCTACCGAAGCGAAAAACGTAATTGATGTATATATATTTTCGTCAAAATACCGTTCTGCAATAAATCTAAACCGCGTGATGAGAAGATAATTGTGTACATATTTTATGGCCTAACGGATATCTTTAAACTCTTTATTAACTTTTATGCATTTACGAAAATTGTCGTATTAGGGTACCTATTACCCGTAAAAAACCATTTTATATCAAAAATATACGAACAAATTCGTACCAAATATTTCATTATAATTGCACCGATACGATCGATATACTTACGAAGTACCTACTGGCTAATAGTAACAACTCGTATATACCTATATATATATATATATTTTGTTATGTTTTGTAAGGAGACAAATCTATTTGATTCGCAAATAGGCATATAGATTATAGACGTTATATACTGACAATGGAATAATATTATACATGCACAGTCCGTACACCACACACGATTGTCCGGCCGTTATCATATACATAGTACATATATGTACATGGTATACAGGGTGATTCACTAGGCATGCTCAACCCTGTATATTCATATAATGATGCATTTTTTTCAAATTATTCTAATTTTGGTATTTTGAAGTACTTATATACTTAAGTAACTAATTTTCGAATACTTTGATTTTTTTATGCCATATTAGGAGTGTTTGGGGGGTCGATACAAACTTCTATTTTCTAAATGAGAACCAAAATTATTCGCTGTAGTTTATCAAGCCGATAATTTTAAATCGAAATTTGAAACTAGTTTTTGGGTTATTAAACCATGTGTAAGAAGGATGATAGTAGTATATAATAGGTGTAGAATATGTGAGGTCATGGTAATTCGAAAATTATAATAATATTATTAATATATATGTATTACAATTTTATAATTTGTATAGATTGTCCGAGTATAATGAGTAGGTACGCTAGACTAAATATTACATACTATAAGCTTTATTTGTGATGTAAAACCATTATTAAGGAGTAAAGACTAATGACTATAAGCAATAAGCCTTACTAAATATATTAAGTTTAATTGTTTAACGACTCAGAAACTATTCCTTAAAATTTCGATTTTTTAAAATTTAAATTTTTCAAAATTTTTAAAATAGTTATAAAATACTTATCTTATTTAAAAAAAAAAAGAAATTGGTGCAGAAATCAAAAATAAAACGGACTCTAGGTACTCTTTACTAAAATTTGCAAAAACCTGAATTTGAATAGAAGCATCATATTATTCATTATATAGGATAAAGTGGCCGGTGGGTGGGCATGCTGAGTGAATCACCCCGTACATAATAATAATAGTCCCGTTCCATAAGATATACGAGACTACCAATACTTGTAATTCGCATAGGTACGCCGCGCCGCGCCGACAGACGCGGAATAAAACAATACAATAATAAATTATTATAATAATAATAATAATGCGATTACGTCGTCGTGAGAATTTGGGTCAATGGGTCTCGGGCTCAATCACCATGAATCATCGTCGAAATATCTGCCGCCGCCAGCTGGAGTCCGTGCGTGGTATACGAATGGCCGATTGTCGAACGTCGTCGTGGCTATATAAAGCCGGTATAAAAATGTGGGTTATCCCGCGGTATCTGTACACCCGATCTCCACCCAATCGCATGTGGGATACGCGCGCACAAGTCTCTGGCGGCGACGCGGCGATCCCGTTACGATCGGACCCCACGACGATCAACACACGTCTTGAGTGTGTCGCGTTTTTCACCGCGTTTGTAACCGTCGTTGTACCTACCTATTTCCTGTTATAGACTATAGTGTTATATATTTATATACGAATATACGATTCATACGTAGCGGTCAAGGTTACACACCTTCGTCGTACAGCTGGTATAAGCGTTCGTTCCGAAATGACTAGCAAGTATATTATTATGATACGCACAATGTTATACATCTAAATATATTTAAATTGCGTTCACGTGGTTTTTATTTTGTACATATTTTCATCACTCAGGGCAGTGTGTAAAAAATAATATATCCTAGTCACTGCAGTCTGCAGCCGTCACTGGCATCAATACAACAATTGAAAAATATATATCAACACTTTACAATAATATGATATGTATTTTATGATTGTAGAATACTATCCGATCGGAAATGGCAAATGAAAATAACGTACGGCGCGGCGTGGACGTAATAATGCGTGCATACCGTTATGTGGTGATTTTTTTTTTTTATTTCCTTCACTTTTTATAAACATTAAACATACTAGGCTCTACTATAATATACCCCCAAAGACCTATAATGAATGTATATATGCATTTGGTCCAGATATTATATAGGTACACTGTTACACACACAGCGCGCGCTCACTGATGGTTTCTAATTACACGATTAATTACAAAAGCGTCTTTAAAACAATACAATATTATAGTATATAGTAGGTCAATCGGTGTTTTATTATCCAAATACAACATACAAAGACGTGGAAATTTGCGTGATGTTTTCTTAGATATTTTTTTTTATCCATTTTCGGTATTTCTCGTGTATTATAATATATCTACCAATGCTTATATACATTGGCGGCAAACGCGTATTTTTATGGGGCGGTTCGCCCCGGTGTTTGCTTTGTGATAGTTGAATTTACACAATAATCATGTGGGTGGTGGTGGTATATAATTTTTATACTTTGCCCCACCAAGTGAAAAACAAGTCGGCGCCACTGGCTATATAATTATTATACAGTTTGGATACTATTTTCATATTATTCCGTGTTGCATAGGTATACGTTTATATATTTGCCCATCACACATCTGAAGATTAATAACGGTTATTTAATGTGTATTTGTATAGGTACGTTAGCAGTTGTGTTACATACTACTGTCTGTAGAAAGTAACAGGTATCAAGAAATTGTTGTAAATTTACGTTTTATTATATTTTTCATACGGAATTTATTTTCAAACTGTTTTTTACACTTTTATTGAATTTAAAAAATGCAATCATAATGCCAATACGGATTGTATATATTTTGATGAATTTAATTTTTCTAAAACATTGTTTTAAAATGATTTAAATTAAGAGTCATTGAAAAATATCTCTAAATAGACAGAACTTGAATATAATTTTCTGGACAGTGAACTGCTTAAATATTATTTGGGTTCCAAAACCAGTTTATTATAATTTTTATACGTACCAAATTGTATTTTACTTCAAATTATGAAATAATTATCACAATGTATTAATTAATAATTATAACCCATAAGTTAGTGGAATTAAGAATTAATATTTTGTATACGAGTTAATCATATGTAGGTATTTTTATTAAAATTTTTTAAATAAACAATAGTAAACAAACAATACAATTTTGGTATTAAAAAATGAATTTTTTTTTTAATTGACGGATTGGTTTACACTATTTATAATTATAGTTCTTAGCTTACATTTATGGTGACTTGTTCTGTGAGTGCGTGTTCGATTACAAATTTTGAAGGGTTTTTTGTAAATGTTTTATTCATATTTAATTCTAATCATTTTATTTTGTTTTTATAGTTATTGCGTATAGTTTATGTACTATCCATATGCAAGTATACGTGGGCTGAACTTTGTGGTGGAAATGGTGAATCGCTGAAATACTTGCGGGGTGACGCGCTCACCGATAATTTGGATTGCATCGGCCCCAATGGTAAACCTTATCCTGAGTAAGTACAAAATATGTTTAAATAAAAATCTTTATAGATCGACACAATAGGAAAAATTGATAAAAAAAAATCGACCCAGTTTTTGATACGTAATTATACCTAGTTGGCATTATTGAACAATTCAATTATTGGTAGTTTAGTACCATTCCGTTTACTCTTAAATTACACTAATTTAAAATCCGTATATTCAACTCGTTTTAAAATTTGTTTATTTATACAAAAATGTACAGGTCGATAGTAGCCGGCACTTATAGACGCACCCACAACTGGGGATCATCAAGGACAGGACGCGACGCTTTTAACGCAGGCTCGAAACCCAGTCCCGAAACGGTACGAGAAACACTACTAAAAACCTATAAAATTAATAATCACAATGAAGATTACACGATCAGTAGAACTGGTAAGTAGTGTATTCACTTTTTAGTATTTGCTTAAAGTTTAAAACCTAACCAATATATATAAATATTGTTTGATGGTTTTCTTATTACTTTACAATTTATTTAGGTACAGTTAATTTTAAAATATTTGGTAATCTTTTTTTTTTTCATATTAATTTTGATTTTTAACTATCTTTAAAAGTAATAAATTAAAAATTAATGTAATATATTAATTATTTATTGAAAATATGAACATTTAGATTACATTTGTAAGTATAATAAATAAAAAATTCTGATATAGTTAAAATACTTATTTCTAGGCTTTCAGCAAATATAATCTGATACTTGGTTTATATTTTTTATTTCTTATATAATATGTTGACAAGATAATTGACATTATTTTGATCTGTTTATTGCTTCTCACATTGGACGACCACTCTACTACCATTCAATTAAAGAGTAAAAAAAAAAATAGGTAAAATTAAATCGATACGTATCATAAATAAATGTAATAACTCTCGAAACGAAATATCGGTCATATATATAATATATAATACATACCTAGGTATATGTAAAACTTTAGATCATTTATTCGAGAAATAAACGTTTTTCACATTATATTCCTACTTGAACAACTGCGCAACGAATCGAGTTTTTTTCGGATATTTAACAAAATAAATAAGTACCTGTAAATTCAATAATGAAGTGTATATAATTTTGTATCCTAAATAAAAATAGTGAAATAGTTCTTATGTATCTGATATAGGTATATATCATATTATTATAGGTTATCATTATAATATATAGGTACCTACTATTAGTATTAGAATAAAATAGTATCAATGTTCAATATGTTATACTTTACTTATTACGATAATATTAGAGGATAATAATTTTTTTATGTTTAATATTTCACATTTCAATAATAATATATAAAAATGTTTTGGTACCTAGGTACCTAAATAAATACAATATCTTACATTAAATATTTTATTATATTTTTAAAAGTATTTCTTTGAACCAGTTTGATGTTAATTAAGTTATTATATTTTAAAACGATTATTAAAAAATTATGAATTCTTAGTACCTATATCATAAACAATAGGTAAAACCCGGGTGTTATTCCAGTTATCGGAACAATTAAGTATACACATATTTTCAACAAAATATTTTTTTAATAAAATACTGTTCCAACGAAATATAATATGATTCAATACAAATGTATTATTTATTAATTATATTAATACCATGAAATACGGATCACTATAAATTTCTTTAAAGTATCAATGTGACAATGTGACAAACAGCTATAAATTATTCCAAGTAAATATGATTCAGTTCAAATATACAATTCCAACAAAAAAAAAAAAATTGAATACGATTCTATTTTCCATTTCCATTTTCATGTAACCTTGTGAGGGCTCTAAACAATGCAAATTGAATTTGCACCAAAACTGATCCATAATATATACAACATGTGTAATTTGCATCAAGTACCAACATTGTTGAAATGCGTTTGGAATTTGCATCAATATATATATATATATATAATTTGCTACTTTGCACCATCTCAGGTAATATAAATAATTGTAATTTACACCAAAATTCAAATCGATAGTTCTTAGTTCTTACCTACGCACAACTACTGTACAAGTTACCATATAGAGTATAGACTATAGTAGAGTGTAATATATTAAGATATGAGAAGCTAAATAACACAGTCACACAGAATACTCCGTTATAGATTCTGAGCGGTTATTTTACTTGTATTGACTTAATATCTCCCTACCTTATAAGTAAAGTTATAATAATTATAACAATAATATATTATAATATTATAATAACAATTGCATTATTATAGGCAAAAATATAATTTCAAAACATTTAATGATTTAAAATTATTTGAAATAATTTTGATAAAAAAAAAGGCGAAAGATTTTTTCGATTTGAAAGGGAACCGGAGTTAATTTTTTGATAAAGATAAGATAGTATCTATAATCCTAACATAATTACTTTAGTTTGGTTTTATTTATAAAATAGATAGAACATTCACTACATAAAAAACTATACTATTTACAACTTAACTCTGCCTAGTCCCTACACAAGCTGCAGAGCTTACAGAGATAATTGTAGCTATATATCTATAATACACTTATGAGAATGTATTTTTGACTTTTGTGCTAAAAATAAAGTGTCTTAGAAATATTATAAACAATAATTGTCAGTCAAATAGGCAGCATAATGTAAATAAAATAATCAATGAATAATGGAATACTCGATAATCGAATAACTTTTACATTTTGATGCCTACAGGTACATTTTAATTCAAATTACAAACACTATTTTCAACTACCTATAGTCTATACGATGGCGATGGTGTATATTACACATTATCTTTATTTTGGTGCAAATTACATACTCCCTTTTAAGTACTTCTGAATTTCCTATACAATAATTACATCTACACAATACATTTTTATCCCTTCTATAAAAAAAAAAATTGGTCTCGAATAAAGTAAGTTACTTAAGTGCATATTCAGTATGATCCATTTGATAGTGTATACACTCTTTATTTCAAAGTTTTAATATTTATCAAAATATTTTTTTTATTTAATTTGATATATTTTTAAGCAAAATTTCTGAAAATAAATTATATTTCTCACTATTTTTTTATTGTTATAATTTTTTAAGTTTTTTTAGTTTTTTGAATGATACCATATATTTTTAATTTCATATTCCGAAGTAGAATATTAATCGAAATATTTTAATCAACAAAGATCAAATTTCGGACAATTAGTTGATTAGGTAGTTACCTACTTATAACTTACTTTTAAGTATAAATATTAAATACTTATAATAACTGATGAACTATTTCTCTGAAATTTGATTTTTATTCATTGGAATACTCTGAATAATATACTGCTTCGGAATATGAAATATAATACATGTATGGTGTCATTATAATGATATAAAAAATAGTAATAAATATACATTGTTTTTTCAGAATTAATGTTGTTTTAAAATAATGAGTGTATCACCTGGTAAACTTAATAATTAATTTTAAATATACCTATACGATATATGATAATATATCGTGCACTCCACAACGATATTAATATAGTAATAATAGTTTATACTTCACGACTAATTAAAAAAATAAAGTGTTACAATTGTATGTATACAAATGAATAATACATTTATCAATATTACAAATTTCAAATTCTATTCAGAAGATAATATTATGTTAATTTTAAAATTATATAGTTGCTTAGTGGTAACTGATAAATTATAATAATAGATACAATAATATATGTTTCGTAATTTAACAAAAGAAATTTAGATTCCTCATAATATTAGTAATATAGGTACTTTCGAGAATATTTGTAACAATTATAAACTAATACGTATAATTGTATAAGCTATTAACCATTATTTATATGATTTTTCAGCCCGAGAATATGGATCAACACCAGCAGCCAATCGTGAACTATGTCAAACACCAAACAGACTGTGCCGCACCAGATACAATACGACTGCGCCTATGTACGGTGTGTCATTGACGTCTGGCCAACCTGTGACTATCGTTCAAAAATTCCCAGATCTGTTACAACAAGTCGTTTACGAAGTTTGCGAGTAAGTACCATATTATTGTTACCTATTATATCCACCGTTCAACTCCACGTGTTCGTCTTATCATTATTGTTTTATGTATTAAACGTTTGCACTGTCGTTTATTAATTATTTTCAATATACTTCTACGTACAACTTGTACAAGTAATATATAATGTATATTATATTGTAATAATAGGTACCTAATATCTATATAATATATAAGTATATAACATACACGATGTATCATGTACATCAGTGGCGTAATTACGGGGGGGGGATTTGGGTGTCGTAATGCCATTGACCATTTTTTTTTTTTTATTTTAATCGTCAAACACATTTATGTACTAATTTTATTAATATATATTTCATAGATAATACAAAAATCACCCGAATCTCCATAATATTATACAAATATATAATCATCCATCAATATTATCATATACAGTGTGATCACGATTTTAGGTACCACTGAATATCACAGATGGATGACTTTGTATTGAAATGGGGTTTTCGGGAGGTGATAGGGAGCACTTAAATACATATTTTCAGACCAGTTTCAAATTTTTAGCTCACTCGGTACGCGCATGCCGCATGCGCAATATTACTTTTTTTTAAATGGCAACCCCAGTTTTTTCTGCAGATTCAGGTAGAGTATTTATTTTTGAACATTTATTGAACATTTATGCATAATTCGTGTTTAATGATATTTTCATTTATAACCAGTTGAAATAATAAAATAAGAGCCAAATAAATGTTTAATGGCGGACGGAAATCGGCCACAACCGACGCCTTAGTCCACTCAGCCACCCCCCCCCCCCCCTAATCAAACATTTATTTGGCACTTATTTTATTATTTCAACTGGTTATAAATGCAAATTACATTAAACACGTATTATGAATAAATCCAAAATTTGACTTTCTCTAACTTGGTCAGTTTTATAAATAGAAAAACTTTCAATACAAAAAATGTTTAAAAAAAAATACTCTACCCGAATCTGTAGAAAAAAAGTGGGGTTGCCATTTAACAAAAAGTAAGTCAAATTGCGCATGCGCATACCGAGTGAGCTAAAAATTTTAAACTGGTCTGAAAATATGTATTTAAGTGCTTCCTATCGGCTATCACCTCCCGAAAACCCCATTTCAATACAAAGTCAGCCATCTGAGATATTCAGTGGTACCTAAAATCGTGATCACACTGTGATACAATTATATTCTTTTAAAATAGCCAAAATAAGATGCTAATATTCTCTTAAAAAGTTGAAAATATTCTTCCAATATTCTTTAAAAATAATAATAAAATATGCAAAAAAAAATGCTTTTTTATTAAAATATTCTCTTGAACTAAAAATATGCATTTATATGCAAAATAATTAAGCAAATAATACGAACTCATATAAATAAATAGGTACATAATATGCAAAATAATATAAAAACCTGATATAAATAGGTACCTACATAATAAAAAATACTACTTGTTAAGAAAAGTTTGAATTAATATTTAATAATTTTAAATTTTTAACTAAGAAAATTTTTGAAAACAGTTGACAACTATATTTTGTTCCATGTTCCCTGATGTCATATTTGTACAACGGTCGGTTAAAATGTTTTTATATGTGCTATTTATATTATTTAGGCCACTGCAACAAAAAATATCGAACATCTACAAAAATTAATCGATATATTCTCTAATATTTTTTATTATACGAAATATTCTTTTATCTTGAAATATTCCCAAATATGCAAAATAAACTTTTGCCATTAACTCACCTGTTTCATGATTTGTAAAGATTTCGAACCCCCGTCTGACTGCATAGACTCAAAAAAAATATGCAAAAGAATATAATTCCGGCTACTAGTTATTACATACAGATCATAATGGTTGTATTCTTGTATTGAGGGGTGCTTATTGCTTATAGCTTATGCCTTATACGGTTAAAAAAAAAAATGTTGAGGGGGGGGGGTAATTGGTGAAATGTACATACATTTCATCCCCCCCCACAACCATGACCAAATTACGCCACTGATGTACATACGAACACAGTTGTTTTAGATCGCGTGAGAAACTGATTTTTGTTTTGATTACAGATCAAACGAGTGCGACATGGTCAGAGGAGAGTGTACGCAAACTTACGTACCATACTTGTTCCTGGTAATACCTTTGGGACCGGTGACACTGACCGGCCAGGATTACGTGCTCGTGGAAAGTGGATGCGTATGCAAACCAAAGGGCTCCAGGTCCACTGCACACGAATTGGTGTCTACTATTCCGGCAATGCCTCGTCCTTAGAGTGCGTTTATATTTATATAGGAAAGCAGCCGTTTAAACGTCATCGTATACCTATACATACTATAGAAGAAAATACACCTCGCCTTTTATACTATATTTATAATATTATCATATCATAATATTATTGTCGTGTACTATATAGTCCATACTGTTGTATATTATATTCTATACAATAATAAAATATACCGTACAGTAAATAGGTACCTACTATTCAATAAAGTCATGAGAGTTGTTAAAAAAAACAAATGTCTTGTTGACCCCATGACGTAACACACCCCTACTTATAATGTTTTTACTTTTTCGTATCTATCCGTTTATTGTTTAAGTACCTATATACACTCACACTGTATACGCGTGTGTACCTAGACATTTACTCACGAATATAAGTACAGTAGCGTCACGCATTTTTTTTTATTATTATTGGGGCCAACATTGAAGTTAAATCCACCCGCATCTATCCCTGAAAACTTAACACCGATATACATGACTTAGATTATGTAGTAGAAAGTCTGCTTACTCACCTAAAAAACTATATACGCAACTTTGCAAGGGGCAACTGAGTAACTTCCCCTTCGTATAAAAAAATTCTCATGACGCAACTGTACATTGTATATACCATAGCGGATATACATATAGATATTAGATACGGTATATTTTTTTATTATAATGATGATATAAATAATATGATTATTATTTATATAAAATAATGCTCAACTTATATAGTGGCGCTAAATATTTTTAATTTATTACGAGTACAATGGTTTTTATAATATTGTGTAGTTTGCCTTACTGTAAAAGTGAATATTTTACATTAATGGCTAGTATGCTGCATGTTTTTTTTTTAATTTATGTGATACTGTATTAATAATTAACTTTTTTATATGTAAAATTAGGTTAATTATTAATATTAAGATAATTAATCTTAAATTTAAATTAATATTTTTTACCAAAGTATATCTTGTATTATAGAGAAAATATATTATTAACATTTCAACTGACCAAAAAATCAGATTTAATTACCTACATAATATGATAAACATTTTTTTTAAGAATTGTATAACTTGGAACTCTAATGGTAGAATTCTTTATGAAAACACAAAAAGACAAAAAGTAGTAGTATATTATATAGGTAATACACTATTAAATAGGGAATAAATACTATAAATGTAAGGCATAGGCGGTAGGCGTATACTTAAAGATATTGATCATTATACACAGCATATACAGGGGCGGATTTATTGGGGGTCTACGTGGCGAGTACAACCCCCTTCCCACTTGGGATTTTTTTTTAAAATTTATTTCAAGTAGTTAATTTCACGAATATGATGATAATACTGTGTAGAAATTTTAATTTCACTAATACATTGAGCATAATAGTACTAACATTTCCAGAGTAAAATATTCCAAAAAATCACTTAGGAAGTAAAGTTTCTGTCAAACAGAAAGCGACAAAGCGTTATTTAATATTTTCACGATTTTGTAATTTGTTACAACAATAATTGTTACCTAACCAATGTTTGTTCAGAATATTTAAACTAAACTTGGATTCTCATATGAACTCTTATAAGTTAATTATTAATTAATATAGAAATAAAATGTTCATTGTACTTTATATATCACTCAAAAATATTTCTACTCATGCACCACAAGTTTGTTTAAGGCTTCAGTTCCGCCCCTGAGTCAGCATAAGTACCTATATATATGTAAGATATGTATTTTATAATGTTGGTAGGTACATGCTCATTGCTCAATAATCTAAAGAAATAGCCTACAAAAATATCTTACATGCACATTTTATCGCATTTATATGATTTGTATATATCTATAAAAATAGTTAATTTGATAGTAAATAAAATTGTACAGTAGGTGCTTTTTGTAATTTATTATTAATGAATAATATACAGTAAAACCTCCCTATAACGGAACCGCTTGGGACTCAATTTTTTTCCGTTATAAAGAGTTTTTCGTTATAGGGAGGTAGAAAAACTATTGAAAGATTAATAGAAAATTATTGACATTTTCCTTTATAAGGAGGATTCCGTCTAATAGAGGGTCCGTTATAGAGAGGTTTTACTGTATATATAAATATATATGTATTTATGTGTAAGCAGAAAAAAAATAAAATTATACTTGATAAAATAATTGTTTGTATTTTGTATAAACTATTTCATGTTGCTAAAAATTATCATATAGAATTTTTATATACTCGTACACCAAAATGTTTACAAATTATAAAATGTTAATACCTACCTATTATTTAATAATAATAATTTTAAAAATCTTCATACATTTTCAACCTATTATTTGCATTATATGGACTATTAGAGTAAGGACATTTGTTCACTAAAAATCGTAAGTGCATTTATAAATATGAAATTACGCATCGAAAAATTTAAAATATGCAGTTAAATTTACTCCCCCCCCCAAAAAAAAATGTCCATATTAATCTAAAAATAAAATTAAAAAATAAAATAAATATATTTTAGATTATATGAGCGGAGCAATGAATATATTGATTTTATACAATGGTCTATGGTAAGTGTTTTTATTTTTTATTTTTTTCTCTTGTCACCACCATTTTGGGCGGTAAAACTGCTTAGATTTTCTTCAACAGTATCATGTTAAATGGGAAAGTGAATCTAGTTGGTGCACTAATTACAATTCCCAATAGTTTTCAAAAGTGCAGGGAAAAACAACATAAAAATTAAGGGAAAACGGGAATTTTTACATAAAATCGGTATTTAGCAAAATAGTTTTAGGTGTTACTTTAAAACAAATGACTCTATATACCTAGGTATATCATGACATTTTCACTGGTTGTTTATATTAGCATTTTTTATTCACGATGAAATTTAAAAAAAATATTGATTTGTTTTGAACTGTTTACGGACATTTATAGTTTTAAATTTTTTTAGTTTTTTTTTCTATGAACGTCAATAAAATTGTATTTGTTGGGTAAAAATTAAAAAATCTTGAACATTTAATACAAAGCTGTAAATTGTTACTATAACATTTGAAAATATTAAAAAACCAGTCACGATTTTTTTTATAAGCATTCAAAGTTCAAATCTTGACAAAATACAGAAAAATTACGAAAATGTGCAAATTATTTTGAATTAGAAATTCCCAAAAAATTCGGAAAATGTATTACAAGATTCCTCATAAATTTTTCTACTTTTATCAAAAAAACAAATGTTTACAAGAGAATCCAATTAAATTGTTATGAACTGTGTAAGTTCGTATTTTTACTGCTTAGGAAATTGATAGGATATTGGATATCACTTGATTTCTCATTCAACGATTTTCTTATTTTGTTGTATTTCAAAAACAAATAACTGTAGATACTTGAAATTTACACTATGTGCAGTTTATTTTATAAATTCCTTGACTCGTTCTGAGATATTTACTGACATTTTCATTTTTTTTAGTTTTGTTGGGTCAAAATGGATAAAAAATGTGTAGAAGGCTTCTGATATTTTGTTACAATAGCAGATGAAAAATATTAAAAATGTATAGTCACGCTTTAGATTTAGATTCTGAGTGGAACGATGAATGTATTGATTTTACAATGATGTGTGCTTATTTTTTTATTTTTTATTTATTTCTATGTCTGTCATCACGGTTCGGGGCAGTAAAACAGTATCTTGTTCGATGGAAAGTGAATCTAGTTGGTGCATTCGGGAGGTAAAATTTTAAAATTACCAATAGTTTTCAAGAATGCCGGGAAAAACAACATAAAAATAAGGAAAAACGAGAGGTTTTCCAAAAAATCGATTTTGGTTTTTAGTGTAACTCTAAAACAAATGAACGTATATGCATGAAATTTTCACTGGTTGTTTATATATTTGCATTTTCTATACACGATAATATTTTCAAAATATTATGATTTGTTTTGAACTGTTTAGGAAAATTTTCATTTTTTTTATATTTTTTTTTTTAGTTTTTTTTTATAAATACCAATTAAATTTTATTTGTTGGTTAAAAAAGCTTGAAAATTTAATAGAAGGCTCCTAGTATATTGTTTTAAAGGCAGATGAAAAATATTACAAATACTTAGTCACGGTTTTTTTTATAAGCATTTAAGTTCAAAAATTGACAAAATATGGAAAATCACAAAAATTAGCAAAATATTTTGAGTTAAGAATACGTAAAAATTTTTCTTTTTAAATCTAATATTTAAAATGTAATACAAGATTCCTTATAAGATTTTCTACCTTTATCAAAAAAAAATTTCTTAGAAGAAAGTCTAATTACATTTTTATGAGATTTTGAAATTAAAAATTTTTACAGTATTAGATATTCACTCGATTTTTCATGTAGCGATTTCCTTATTTTGTTGTAATTCAAAAACGAATTACTGTAGATACATGAAAATTTCACTGAATGTTCATATTAGTATTTCCTATATGCCATACAATTTTGAAAATATTTTGACTCTTTTTGAGCTGTTTGCGGACAAGTTTTCAATTTTTTTCGTTTTTTTTTCTATAAATATCAATAAAGTTAGGCTGGGCCAAAAAATGTAAAAATTTAATATAAGGTTTCTTGTTACAATATCAGTTGAAAAATATTAAAAATGCATAGTCACAATTTTTTTTTATAAGCATTTAAAGTTCAAATTTTGACAAAATGTATCAAATTTAAAATTGCATAATTATTTTCTAGTTAATAATTTATAAAATGTTCAACCTTTATATCTAAGGATTGAAAATTTAAAGCAAGATTCCTCGTAAGTAATTAATTCTGTTGAAAAAAAAATCTAAAAAATACATAAGCACAATTTATTTTTATAGCCATTTTAAGTTCAACTTTGGACGAAATTACATAATAAAAAACCTAGAATAACTATTTTAGATATTTTGTTATGATTGCATTTAATATCATTCGTGGATACTTGACACTTCTATAAAGTACACTATTATATATCTATGATAGTATCAGGGTTTGTTGTTAATGTATAACGCGTTATAAGTACCTAATGGATATTGTGATATGATTAA